CCCCCGTCCTGGGAGCTGCCAGCGCTTTGACTTTGGAAGTCCTTGAGCTTTGACACCTCAGGCGGTAAGGCGCCTCCCCTTGGGCGACTGCCTAAGGAAAAGGAATCTGAGAAAGCGGGTGCCCTGCGAAATGGAATGCATAACTTCCTTCTGCCTACGCATGGGGGAAATGTGGAAAACTCCAATTTGAGACGATTGTGCGCCTGAGCTATTGATGTGTTGCAAGTAGAACTGAGTAACTAGGTGGATAGGCAAATGGCTGTCACCAGGCACAGCTGCCTGATTGGCTCTCGTGACAAAATGTGCGGGAAAGAAGCGGGACACAACTTTGTCAGCTTCCGATCGTTGGAATTTACCAACAAAAATGCGAGCAGCGCAACCCCCCATGATGCAGGTAGCCCAAATGGACGTGAATGAGCAGGAGTGGGTGTTTAGCTGGGGTATTTCAGAGCTGTGAAGGTAGTTGGTCTTGTTTGGTCAGCGGTTTTCTAAGCAAACAAGGCTTCGCTTGGCTAATTTCACCGAAACAACACCCCAATGTCGCACATTGCCAACATTTGGCTGATTGCAAGGAAACCTCGCCTCACAAAGCAAACCATGAACTGGCGTCCCCGAAAAGGAGTGGCGTCCCTTTTTCCGCGTCCAACAAACCAAAAGGGGGATGTGTGAACATAGGGCCTCTAACTATACTTTTCCTCGTTTCCCCTTGAACAAAATCCCAAAAAAGGGCCTCAAGTACCACACGGCTCCAAACCAACTCGGGAGGCGCCTGCTGGGAGGTGCCCTTGAGCAGCTCCGACAGCTCGCCGAGCTTCTCCTCTGACCGCTTCATCCTCCTGAGTCCCAACTTTTGCGCAGCTAAGGGGGTAGCGTGTGGCTTAGCTTCGCGAAAGCTGCCACCCTTGCAGGATTCTACTCGACCCTTTGCTGGGCCTGAACGACATAGAGGAACTTTGAGGGGTTGCCAGTTTTAAAAAAGCATGCGGGAAGGGTTGGGCGAAAACTGGTGGGATGAGACCATGACCCCCTCAAAAGGGAAACCAAAAGGAGTTTGTCAACAAGGGGTTGACACAACCCTGGCAGTGAACACCCCCGCCCCCCCGGTGCCACTGCATGCGATCCTGGGACTGGCAAAGTAACCGCTTCCGGCTAACTGGTCCTGAATGAACTTTTGCTGAGAAAGGCGGAGCTTTGGGGATTCCAGCTGCGCAGGGCAGTGTACCATATCGTGATGTTCCTGCCAGCCTGAAATGATTCACTCCCCACAACAGCAACCCCTCCCCCAAAAAATGAAGAGACACATCCTGGGGAAAAGCAATCATTGGCCCGAGTTGGCAATTTGATTCAGTGGCATGTATCCACAAGCAATAGTTCGGCCTTCCAGAGTGATAGTTGCAAACATGTGATCTTGGGTACATGCCCCGTACACCATCCCAAAAACACTTGCTTGCAAGAAAGCTAAAGCAAGGACTAGGCAAAACAAAAAGGCAAGACAACAACAACATTGCTGAAATAGGGAAGCCAGAACAGGTACTGAAAAGGGGGGCACATTCATGAAGGCCGGCGCCAGTCAAGGCGATGAGGATGTTTCCCCAAATACCGGAAATTGAACATCTGAGGCAATGATAACTAAGTATACAGTTGCCAACTGAACAAGGCACTACCATCGACTATATCAGCCATCAAACGTTTGGCAACAGTTTCACCCCCGGGACCCTGATGAGCACCAACTGCTTTTTGGATAGCTCCAAAACCACGCAGTGTTCGCTCTCTCAGCCAAGGCTCTCCAACAAGCGGCCAACTTTCACATCCTCTTCCTCTGCTTTGTTGGTCAGCTTGTCCAAGGTGTTCCCAATGAGGACGAAATTCTCATCCAGACGCTGGGACATCTTCTGGCTGCTCTCCGCATGCAGAGTCTCATTGGACCGGATCTCATCCAAGACTGGGCCAAAGTCGAACTTGCTGAAATCCACCTGTGTGCGTCGTTGAAACGGAATTCCAATTGAATGGTTGGGTGCTTGCTAGCCCCAATTCAAAAACAATAAACACATAATACAACCAGAGCCAGTTGTTCCGAGCCAGAGCCACATAGCCGCACTTGGCCCATGAGACCACTTGCTCCATCTTCTCGTCCAGCTGCGTTAGCTTTTGATTGCTGGTCTCCTCTCTGCGCTCCAACATGCCTGCCACATCCCCGCGCAAGCTGTTGGCACTCTGGTCCACCTCGGATCGCACCTCCTGCAAAATCTCCTCGCTCATGCCTTAGCACGAGCTCAGGTACTATGAATCAAGCTGCACACTGGGTGTAGCTGCCAGGCTTGCTGGAAGCCCATGAAACCTCCCAGCCTAAAAGCATGCTGCTCAACAAGTTAATTCTTCGCATGCCTGGGGTCCTCAGCTGACCATCGGTACCTTTCGGACGAAATGCTGGACATCTTATTCGCGAAGCCCTTCTTGCAAATCTCCAGGACGTCATGCCAAGCATTGCTGCGGCCACGCCGGGAAGGCGATGAAGATAACTCCTACAGGGCTTTTCAGGGCCAGAAAGCTGGCAAGCAAGCAATCAACCACCCAACCAAACCAAACAAACAATTAATCAAACAACCAATTAAGCAAGCAATCAAAGCAATCAATCAATCACTCAATAAAAATCAATCAACCAATCAATCAATAAATCAAACAGTCAATGGGTCACTCAATCCAAGAGTTAATCAATCAAACCACAGCAAATCAAATCAAATGAAATCCAACCCAATCCAATCCAATCAATCCAATCAATCCAAGAATCCATCTTCATCCAGCCATCCAGCCATCGAGCCATCGAGTCAGTCAGTCAGTCAGTCAGTCAGCCAGCCAGTCAGCCAGCCAGCCAGCCAGTCAAATAATATGACAAGACATTCAACAACATTCAACAACACCCACAAACATCAGTCAGTGAGTCAATCAAGCAAGCCACAAACAAGAATCATGTGAAACAGATCGCCCAAAAATGCCCAGCCGCTCGTTTCTTGCCGCTTGCTCCTTGGAAGGCAACTCTTTTGAAGTCCCGGTCAAGTCCTCCAACCGAGGCTCCATGGCCAGGGCGGAAGCGCCCGCCCGAACTCGACCGACGGCTGTCGGAGCCGGAAGCGGATCGGTCGAACGCGGGCGATGCGCGGAAAAGCTGTCCCATGAGGGTCCAAGTTTAGACCCCTTTTTGACCCCCCAAAAAGCCATCCCCAGGTACTTGGACCGTCTGGGTGTTGAAAAATATGGGCATTTTGGTGCGTGCGGTATGCTTGCGAATGTGACGCAAGAACTTGATGGAGTACTCACATTTGCAAGGTTTACACCTAATCCAAGAGTACATTCAACAGAAGGCGACTGCACAAAGGGCCTAAGAGCTCAAAGCAGTGCAACGAACCAACGCGCGAGCGAAACTCCAAAACACTGACTCTATGGTCTCCTTTAGTCTCCTTTACAGTGGTTGTGATGTAGGGTGCCTCAGTTATGCCAGGAGCAGCACCAGCAGCAAGTAGCAGGCGGCAGCAGCAGCAGCAGCATCAGTGGCTCCCCACGAGCGCGTGATATCGCGTCATGACGCGTGCCCCACTGGTTTGGAAGCTCCAAAGCCAGCCACGCAAAGAGACCTCCGAACGAAGCCAGCTGAGGGTTCGTGCTCGGGGTGCCACTCTGCTCGTTCTTGTCTCCCATTGCATCCGCAAGCCAGGGGTCTGAGTTGCCCAAGTTCCCAAGTCCGAGTTCCCAGGTTCGAGTTTCTGCAATTCCGGAAGGGTGGAAGGAAGAAGGCAATTCCGGGGCCAAGCGCATGCTAGTACGGTCCGCGTAGGGGCTTGTTTGCAAGGTGATCTGTGGAACTGGCACGCGGCAAAGAAGAAGCACATTCTGGACTATGGCTTTCCAAACTTCAATCAGAGACACACGGCTTGCGCACAAACATTAAACACCTGTCAGCGGTATGAAAGTTTCAGAGGACAACAAACGCTGGCCTAAATCCTCCTGGGAAGACCGACTGGAGCGCTGGAATGAGTTTCCTGCAAACTAAGGAATCGGATGCAGATCCTGCGCCGCAATTGCTCAACCGGTTGCCCCACTACCCACTGCAGAGCAAGATGTCAGTGGCCGATCACCTTACGAGGATTTATGAGCCTCTGCAGCAGAAGCTGCACCTCGGCCACACAGCGGCAAGCTCATCGCCACGGCTCATACGCCCCATTTTGACAACATATGCTGCCAAGCAGCCCGCCATGGCTTTGTTTAGGATCTTTGCGCGGCAGTCTTCTGGGGCCATCGCCTGCCACATGAGCACCTGGCAAAGAGAGGTGCGATCTGACATGTGGCCCAATTCTTTGGGGATCGATCATGAAGAAAGACCCTCCCACCAAACCCATGACCCGAAGGTGACCACTTTCACGAACAACGACAAACGTGCTTCCGGGCTGTTTTGCTAACTTGATGGACGCCGTGTGCGGAGAGCGTTTCTATGTACAAGTTCCAGGGGAAACGCGCATGCCTTTGCACTGAGCTTCCATCATACGCCAAGAAACATATGCCGCTGCTGTGCCTTCATATGAAAAAACAACTTGAATGGTGACATCCGAAGAAGAAACTGCACTAACCTAAGCAAAAGTGATGTATCTGATTCGTTCAGCCAACTAGGGGCTGCACAAGCGGAGATCCAGTCCTGCTTTCCATCTCACTGCGGAGGATGGGAGAGTTCCCTGAGTTGCAGCCACCCTCAAATCTTCATGTTGCCAGCCAAGCTTTCTATTGGTGAATTTATTAGTCTCTTGACCCTATGAATGCGCCAAAATGTTTGCCCATGTCTTTTCGCCAGGTGCTGACACCAAATGACCCCTCGCAGCCAAGTGCTTGACCAACACCCAGCGCGGGGTAACTCCGAGGCATCTCGTAGCATGTTGGCTTTCTCGCGAGGCACTTACACAAACATTCGCCCAACTCAAGCCCAAAGTCTTGGCGCTTTGTTGGGCCCGTGAAACCTGCGGTCTACGGGCTTCAAAAAACGAACACCGTTTCCGTGGCAAACTAGTCCCAAGAAGAGTACCCTCAGAGCGGAAAAAATGGGTAGTTTCCTTCTCAAACAACCTCAAGCAAAGAGCATTAAACAAATAAACTCCATATGGCCGATTCCTCTTCAAACGACTCCGGGCTAGGTACCATATTCGTGGACTCCTCTTCAAACAACCTCAGGTTACCCTTACACAAATATCATATCCCTACAGGGTGGATTCTTCTAAAAGACCGGTCTGAAAATGGACCCCTTTGTCGTTTCCGCTTGAAACAAGCCCCAATCCGAGTACCCTCAGAATGGAACAAACAAATGAGTCGTTCCCTTTTTGAAGTACATGCCTCATCCAGGGCTCAGCGATGTTCATCTCCCGCCTTCTTGTAGCTGAAGGATGTCTCGCTTTCGATGTGCTCCAGCCTGACTCATGAGTCTTCCAATATACTGAGGCTTGAAACATTGGAATAGGGTTGCGTGGTACTTTGAAGCCACACGCAAATCCAAAGAGGGTCCTTAAACTGTCCGAACAATTCCAGCAGCCCTTCTGCTCCATTTTGCACTGGGGGTGGAAAGGTGGGTCCCCCCTCCAAATGAGAGGGCTTGTGTTGGTCTCCCCCTCAAGTGGACGCAAAAGGGTCGCTTGCTTGGGCCCAGCCAAATCATCCAGGGGCTTCGACGGCATCCCATCCCCGCAACCGTCAAAGCAGGCACCACTCCCCGAACGATTGAGGGGAGTCTGAGTCTTACACCAGCACTTGTGGTCTTAGTTTGCAGCAAAGGTAGCTCGCTGGAAACCTATCCCACCTGGAAAAACACCGGTGATATCTGGAATGGCCACGAGGGCGGACCGCTCAAGGGCAACCATGTGCGAAAAGAATTAAGCATCTGATCGACAATTGAGGCCCAGAATGGCAAGTCATGAGAGCAAAACAAAGGATCAGCAACCTGACCACCAATGCTATGTTTGCATCATTCATCTGCGCACTTGCAGAAGTAAAAGCAACGGAAGTGGCTCAGCAAAAGGCTCAGCTGGCAAAGTCATGCTTAGCCAGGAAGCAAGCCCTTGCCCACCGTCTCGTAATACTTCTTGAAGATTGGCGTGCGCAGTCGCTCTGGAATAGTGCAAACCAGCGCAGTGAGTGTGTTCTCATCTGTTCCCCAGCCACGCATGGCATCATGCAAGCAGCGAACCCACAACTCTACCTCCGGCTCGAGGAGTGCTTTCATGCAACTCTTCCTCAGCTCGCCCACCGTACGACATTCTCGGCCCAAACACGGGAAAGGCTTTCGAATAGCACGCAAGGAGGGCGAATTCCCTCGAGAAAGGCAGGGTTTTAAGGCAGGGCCAATTGGTACGCCAAGCTGTGTTGCCAACCAGGGGAATCTACCAGCGCGCCTAGAAGCCCAACCACACAGGATTGAATGTGAAAACGATTCCGTAGACTGTAGCGTGGGACTAGGTTCCTTTCAAGTCAAATAATTGCATTTCTAAAGGGGGCTCAATGTAGACATCACACACAAGCAATGACCGGATTGGAAGCAGGTAGACAGAAACGCTGAACAAAGAGCGAGGTTCCAGTAGTTGGAGAAGAGCCAGCCGTCCGAACCGGCCTTGGCTTCAATCTTCTCACTCAGGTTACCTGCCGCAAGTGTGCCTGCGTACTTCTGGCACATGTTCTGCACGCTCATGCCATCGGTCGTCCCAAGAACCTCTATCAGGCACTTCTCCTCATAAAGCGCATCATTGCCTTGGCCCCCAACACCCCGCGCCCCCCGCCCCCAACACCCCGCGTGTTGGATTTTCAAGGTTCTGGTCCATGCCTGTTACCTGGCAGAGCCCTCAATGGCATGAACTCAGGGACCAGGAAACCACCGGTCAAGTTGCACCGCTGAGCGATGTTCCCCAGGTTCTCTGCATGATTGAGCTCCTCCTCCGACATGCCGCCCCCATCAGCCCAGGAGGCGAACGCTTGGAAGGGGATAAAGCCAGTGTTGGCCGGATCGGCTTTCAACCTCAGCTAGACAAGACGCACCTCGCATGAGCGAGGCAGTGCGCAAATGTTCTTCAACAAATATTGGAAGGCCCTTATCAAACGGGAAGGCTGCCTAAATTGCAAAGCTCACTCCACTTTGTTGGCGTGCCGTCAGTGGGAGATCAGCCCGACGGGAAGTCATAAAGACCGCCAAGGCACATTACCTCGTCCACTTCTTCCTTGCTCGGCTCCGCCCCCCTGACCAAGGTCAGCATCATATCCTTGCCGAGCCGACACATTGAACAATTGACAAGAAGGTCCACAAAAGAATGCTCGCCCCGTGCACAGTTCAAAGCTGATACAAGTAGGAGCTTCCACACATCAAAATACGCCGCAAGTCATGCAGTGTGGGCCGCGGATTACGAGCCTCCATTCCCGCGAGCAACAAAACATATTTGGCTCCGTGACCAAATAATCAATGCAGGGTATAAGAATCATAGAAACTCACACCTGCTCCTTCAAGCCGTTTTTTAAAGTATATCCCGGCAAATGATGTGCAATCAACAAGCAAGTGCTACCCATGTCAATGAGAAACAACGGGGCACCGCAACTGGGCTAGAGATCAAATGCTCATTGCACACGAACTGCGGAACAAATCGCACGCTTTCCATTCCATATTATACGGAAACGAGTCCAAATAGGCAAAAGCAGGATCTTGACGCCGTCTCTTCTCCCTTAACTTGACCTGTTCCCATCAACATCTGCAGCCGGGAGGAGTGCTGTGCCGAGGGGCCTGACCCGATGATGGATGGATGGATGGATGGATGGATGGATGGATGGATGGATGGATGGATGGATGGATGGATGGATGGATGGATGGATGGATGGATGGATGGATGGATGGATGGATGGATGGATGGATGGATGGATGGAATGGATGGATGGATGGATGGAATGGATGGATGGATGGATGGATGGATGGATGGATGGATGGATGGATGGATGGATGGATGGATGGATGGATGGATGGATGGATGGATGGATGGATGGATGGATGGATGGATGGATGGATGGATGGATGGATGGATGGATGGATGGATGGATGGATGGATGGATGGATGGATGGATGGATGGATGGATGGATGGATGGATGGATGGATGGATGGATGGATGCATGGGTGGATGGGTGGGTGGATGGGTGGATGGGTGGATGGGTGGATGGGTGGATGGGTGGATGGGTGGATTGGTGGGTGGATGGGTGGATGGGTGGATGGGTGCATGGGTGGATGGGTGGATTGATGGGTGGATGGGTGGATGGGCGGATGGATGGATGGATAGTTGGATGGATGGACGGACGGAGATGGATAGACAGGCAGGCAAACAGCCAGAGAGTTGGACATGTCGATTGATCGACAGATAGGCAGATAGGCAGATAGGCAGACAGACACACGGACAGACAGACAGACAGACAGACATACAGGCAGGCAGGCAGGCAGGCAGACAGGCAGGCAGGCAGACAAACAGACAGACAGATAGGCAGGCAGGCAGGCAGACAGGCAGGCAGACAGACAGACAAACAGACAGACAAACAGACCGATAGACAAACAAACAAACAAACAAACAAAAAGAAACAAACACACAAACACACAAACAAACAAACAAACAAACAAACAAACAAACAAACAAACACACACACACACACACACACATACAAAGAGATAGATGGGTAGAGTAGATTCAGTAGATAGATATATTACAGATTAAGTTAGATAGATAGATGGATAGGATATAGATAGATCAGATGAGATCACACGAGACTGAAGGCAAACCAAAGCCGACCATTTGATCAGATTTGATTTTTTTCTTTATTATTTGTTTTGGGGGACGGCAAACCAAGGAGTTTTGGAGCCCACCAATTCCGACCAACTATCCGGGTACCCACGCCCCTCTTCATAGGTGTCCCTTCATGGGAAATAGACGGCCCTGGTAGATGATATTAAACCACCAAGTAATTAATTTTTTAACCAAGGCCATCCATTGTTCCCAAGGCAAAAAGGACGCCTCCTCCCCTCTTCCCCCGTTCTCCCCCCCCGTTCTCCCCGGGTCCATCTCGTTCTTGCTGACGCTGCCGGAGCCGTCCAGGTCGAAGGCCTGGAACTGAAATCTCCGTGCCACCTCCGTGGTGGAGGAGTCCAGCACGGCCTTCCTCGGATCCAACGAGTGCGTCCCACGCGCTCGCCTGGGAACCTGTCCACGCAAAGGACATGACTTGAGGAGAACGCCTCAACACCAAACCGCATTGATAGATGCGGCAACTGTGAGCTCCACCAATTTGTTGCGCTACCTCGCAGCGAACCTTTTAGCACTCAGAAAGATCCACAAGTGGATTAGACCACCTGACTGAGTTGGGGCGGGAACTCAATGGCGCGAGTTACGCCATGCTTCTTCAAGACTGTCAGCGTCTGCGGCTCCCGCCGCTGCCACCGCTTGGCGTAGAGGTTGCTGTCCTCGAAGTACCTGCTGCGGGCTTCCAAACGGGATTTGCTTGGAAGGGCACCCTCCAAAAAAATTAGGTGGTTGTCCCCTGTGCCCATGTTTAAAACACCCGAAAAGAGTACCATCAACAAGCACGCACCCAAATGCAAGCACCGCATCATTGCAAATTGCGCCAATCTAAATTTGAACTTGTTCGTCTTGCAAATGGCTCGCGGGCAAAAAAGCCAGCGCTGGCTTTCGAATGGAAGGCACATTTGCTTGGGGGAAACACCTAGATTGAACCACACAGTTGATGAATCCGGCGCCAACATGCCAGCATGCTTTAGAGGAATCTCGGAATATCTGCGAACCTAGCGGAAGTTTGGAGAACGTAGCTGTCAGAATTGTAGTGACCTGTGTACAGGAGCAACTCTTCAACGGTTCTTATAGGGCTTAGAGCTCAGGGACAAACCCACTGCACCACTCCAATTTAGTTGAAGGAGTTGCATGCATTGCTCCTTCTTTTGCACGGCAATGAGAACTGAGGCTCACTAACGATTGCCACCTTCGACAGTTTGCCATGGCCGTGCAGCCTAACATTTGTCATACTCTGTGACGGCGGCTTGCGTCGGGCCCTCTTATCAATGCAGTTGCGCAGGTTGTGGAACAAACGCAGAAGTGCGCTAGCTGCGAAGCAATGCCGCTCAGCTTGCTCAAAGCTAGCCCTGTCTTAGCCAGTGCGCACGGCCGCTTCGTTTGCGTCAAAACAGATCAATCTTGGGGCATTGCTCTGACTGATCAAACACCTCGCAAACAGCTTGCTTCCTGACACTACCTACGGATCAAGGCGTCTTACGTGCTGCCCATTCCCTCTCTCTGCAAGGCAATAAATTCAACTCTTGTTTGCTAAACAGCAAGCCACTATAACTTGAAATTCTTCAATCCAGCCGACCTGTGGCAACTAAGGCGACTAAGGGATAACTGCCCTTCCCTTGCCCAAGCATGACAAGTTCCCGGTTGAACATGCCTGTACTCCACATAGTGATGCAGCCAGGATTGGATGTACACGGTGTCGCGGTGCTTCAACTCCTGATCTCTGACAAACAACGCAGCTTCCGCGAAAACCTGAAACACTGGCACACGCCAAACAGTACATCAAACACCTAAATATATTGCTTTTGGCCGTGGCAAAGCTGCACCCCTTTACCCAAACCCCACTTCATGTCAAGCAAAAACTGGGGGCCAACACAATTCGGCAATGAAACCACATGCTTGGTGGTTTGCCTTGGCTATCTTTGTGAAGTCAGTGCAGGCACCCATCAAACAGCCGTAGTAGCTTTCGTCCCATTTTGAGCTCAGCAACGGCATGTCCCAAATTCCGTGCGTTTTCTATAGCGTGGAAGGTATCGAGTTGAACCGAAACACATCTTGCAGTGGCCATGGGAGGAAAAGGAGAAACGCCCCTTTGTCGCCGGAGCCAAGGTTTCGGTCAATGCCAGGGTAGATCTGGGTTTCGGCCAGGCCCCCTCCAAAACGGGAGGAAAAGGCACAGGATGCGCCAAGAATCCATGGGCCGCCCCTGCTTGAAGAACCCGAAGACCTGGCTGGCAGCCGCCTCGTCCTTGTCCGCCAAGGTCAAAGGTGTGGAGTCGGTGGCTGCCTGCAGATACTTGCCTGTGTCCTCAGTGAATGCTTGCAGGTACACCATTTGCACCCACTCCCAGACACGCCTCTTTGGGAAAGGCTGAAATGGAGTTGTGTTCAGGGGGAGGGGTGGTAGCAGCTTTATGAAACACCAAAACACCCATGGAACATGGCCTGAGCATGAGGGTTTGATGGAGGGTCCAAGGGAACCTCCTTGATTTGTGTATAATAACAAGCCAGGGACCAAGGACAGAAGCATAAGAAACTGCCTGCATTCATCGAATGTTGGCCCCCTGAAGTTACCAGCAACTGGGCCATGTGGGTTGAGCTGTTCCACCATCTGAACATGCGAAGTTATCAGCTGGGTTGGGCCATGTAGCTTACGAAACCGTCTAGGTCCTCGGCAAACACACCGCTCATGGACAATGACAACATGCCCGGCTCCTCATTCTGAGGGTTTTTTCCCGAAGGACAATGTGCTCAAAAGGTCCCGCTGCCCTATTTACCTATTCCATCAAAATTGCCTATGCCGACCAACTACTGCACATCGCATCACAGGAATTGCAGAGCACATCCGCAGTACCAAGCATGCATCATGCACTCGCCTGTATTTCATGTCCACTTCAGTTTAACCTGGAGATCTGCACTATTGCCTCGAGGGTGTTCTTCCTCTCAATAGGAAAATCGTCGGTCGCTAGCATCATCCTCCCAACATACATCAACAACCACCTCAGTCTTCGACCCACCTGCGCCAGGTGAGTCCTAAACCGGCATGGAGGCCAAAGCCAAGGCGCCACGTGCTCAAAGCGGAGGTCATCGCCATCCTTCAGAACGGCAGTGCTGCCATCCTTGCGGCAGGCCTTAAAGACGCAGGCGCCCTTCAGCTCCTTGCCCTCGGCGATGAGAGCATCTCCTGAAACATCTTTCCCAACTCACAAGCTCGACACAGCAACAAAAACACTCTTGAATTCAGGGTCTTTGTCTCCCAGTTCTTAGACCTTGGGTGGGCAAAACCGAATTGTCGGTATGCCGACAGCATGAAATCTGGCGCTTTCCTCGCATAAAAATGGGCTAGCTGGGTGAAACTGGCCATGTCACAGTGCAAATGATGTGTCGTGTCTGGAGCGGCTGCTCATGTGACTCGCGCACGCTTTATCCTGTCGTTCTTGCCCCTGGCCTTCAAATCCCATCTGGCACGAGCATGGACAACCACATGCACTCACCCAATAGTTGGATTCCCAGCGAAAGAGCCTCTGGATGTGATTCGTTTCACCCCAGCCTGTAAGGTCGCTTGTCTTTGGATTCCTGTTGAACTGCTGCAAAGCTAAACCGCCCCGCGTCCGAAATCCCCAGCTTCCTCCTTCAAGGGCCACCTCCGAGTAGGTGAAAACCAAGTAGATCAGGTCCCCCCCGTGGATTTGAGGTGGCACTGCGGAGGTGTCGTACCGCACAAAGGGAAGGAAGTCGTTAGACTTGTCCCTCACTTTGTCCCCTTCATAAGCCACATGTCGATTCACCGTGAAGGCCTCAGCATGTCACATCTGCAAGAGACACACCGCTGCTTTTAGCCACACGGGAGCCGATGCGTGTGTTTATACTGCCCCTTAGGTTGGATTGCAATCCGTGCCGTTGCAGCCACTGGCTGGTTGCTCAGCCTGTCTTGGAATGTGCCTTTGGGCGCCGTTTGAAGAGAACCGGGTTGAAAGGCGGCTTTTGGTGTCACTGTGGTTGATAGCATCTGCAACACCTTGCAGGAAAGTCAGCAAAGCTTTCTGAAGTTTCATGGTTGGGCGGTGATGGCTACCTTTGGCCCCATAGGCCCCATACCCATCCATGAAGGAACTGCCAAGTAGAAGCTAGGGGTGATATCACCAATGAAGGCATCGTGCCATCACAAAGCCCGTGCAAACAAATTGCCATGGCAGATCAACGTCTGCGGGGCTCTGTTTCTAGAGTGTGGAAACACAAGTTGGCATTAACGGTAGCTGACAGCATCTGGTTCCAAGCGCCCTTTGGAATGACAAGCTTTCCAAGATTCCTGAGATCCCGTGTTGTAAATTGATGCACATGCACAGCACGTGCAAGCGATCGCCAAGTGCATATATACACACATACATCGAGCCCTTCCTGTCAACCACGCCGTCTAAATCCGCATGTGCGAATCCCAGCTGTATGCATACTAAAAAATATATGCGCATATACATGCACAAACAAAAGTAGATAGATAGATAGATAGATGGATGGATGGATGGATGGATGGATAGATAGATAGGCAGGCAGGTAGGTAGGTAGGCAGGTAGGTAGATAGGTAGGTATATGGGTAAACAGATAGATTAGATTAGGTTTGATAGATGAGATAGATAAATAGATAAATGGATAGATAGATCGATAGATAGATATAAAGATAGATAGATAGATTAGATTAGATTAGATTAGAGTAGATTAGATTAGATTAGGATAGATTAGGATAGGTTAGGTTAGGTTAGGTTAGAGTTGATGGAACTATGGATGGATAGATTAGATAGATGGACATATAGATAGACCGCTAGAAGGTCTATAGGTAGATAGGTAGATAAGTAGATAGGTAGATAGGTAGTAAGGTAGATAGGTAGATAGGTAGCAAGGTGGATAGTGGATAGGTAGATAAATAGGCAGATAGCTAGGTAGGTAGATAGGTAGGTATATAGATACATTGGTAGATAGATTCGATTAGAATGGACTAGACATATAGCTTAGATAGCTACATAGATTGAATAGATAAATAGATAGATAGATGGATAGATATATAGATAGGTTAGACAGATAGGATAGACATATAGATAGATTGGATTCTATTAGATAAGTAAAATATATATAGCTAGATGGATATATAGATAAACAGGCAGAACAACATCAACAAACACATCCACACTCACAAATATGTAGACAGGTCAAATAATGTCTCGATATATTATACATGCACATGACAAACCAACCAACCAACTACAAATCTGAATAACCATGCAACAAATTCCAATCACAATAAACAAGCAAGCCGATTAACACATATGCACAAAATAACAAGTAACACATGCATACACCAAATAAATACCCACACACATATAAACCAATGAATGCATAAACAACTAAAGCACAAAACACATCAACAGACCAACATGTAAACCATTTGTCCAAATTCCAGGAACGTGTTTGCATTGTGTTCTAATGTTGGCATTCAACTCATAAACGCTGTATGAACAACACTTCTTTTTCCCAGTTGACCTTCCAGCCAATCACAATTATGTCAAGCTTGCACCCAACAGAACTCCCACAATTGTAATTACCCAAGCTACTCCCATGATGATTGAAAACGCATACCAATGCTACTCCTGTCATAACCCCAAGGGCTGCTATTCCAAAATGATGGATCATAAGCTGCTCCGGAAGCAGCCCACTTCTTACTGCGGGTCGCCTAAGAACTCCGGGTTTGACAAGCTCGAAAAGAGCAGCTCCTTCTTTGCAGGCCAGCCCCCCCAAACAAAACGTTGACTACAGTACTCCTGGCACTGGGTCATTTCAGTTTTCTACTGCAGAAGGACAGGAGAGGTCCGGATGCATCCAGGGGCGTCTGGTTACCCTGGAGCTTGAGGCAGGCTAAACATAGCAATACATTGACATCTTTTTCGGCTCGAAAGGGACTTGATGTGATCCTTTCGATGCTCGCGCGTTGCCTGGAAGAAAACAACACCCGATCCATCTCGAGATCTGATGGTTGCGAGGTGCAGCGCCCGCGCCGACGTTCACGTCCTCTGGCTGCGAATTGGCAGCTGACCGCAAATCCACTCAAGCCAAACAACTCACTTCCCGAGCGGATGGCCAAAAAAAACCGAACTTTTTAATGGTCGTCCCAAAAACTTTAAAGTCCATCAACTCAGAAAGTGAGACAACCCCCCCAGTGCCCTGAAAACAGCTCTCTTCATGAAAAGCGATGGATAGTCAAGATACCCCAGCCCTGTACCCTGAAGGCCGATATACTTTGATTGCTGTAACCCGCATGTTTCCGAAGACGAACGGACACACAACTAGTTCCATTCCTCTCGAAAAGGCTACCCAAGATGTTCAGCGGTAGCCTGAATTGGGGATTCAAACATCTCCGAACGATTGATTCACTGGTGGTGCCTGCTCAAAACCACAGCAAATGACCATGCAATCGCCAATAAACCCCCACCAATTTTGATGAAGGGGCCGTTGCAGAACCGATCCCAATTTACATTTAGCATGCCAAATCGCCCAAATCACACACTAGTGTATTCTCAACAGGGGACAATCCAACCAAAACGTCAGCATCATTCTGTCCAGGTCCCTCCGGCAAAAAGCAAGCCAAACTTCCATAAACTTCCTCCCTGAGGAAGAGGAAAGCAAGCCAGTAGCAATGAAATCGCATTCAGCATCATCCACAAGAATGCAACCATGGAACAATAAATCTAGATGTCCGCCGCCCTGACATCGGTGTCATCCAGCTTCAACCAAACCAGTTTCAGCGCCTACCCTTGTTTGGGGGTTGATGTTTGTAGGCAGGGCGTCAAAGAAAATGAAGGAGAGTGCGAAATCCGCTGAACAACTGGGTCTACGTCCTGCGGCTTTGGAGCAGGTGGTGGTCCATCCGCTTTCGGCTGTGTGGTGTACTTTTTCTCTTGCGATGCGCCACAGCCCATCGCAACTATCGGATGCCCAATCGGCAAAAAGGCAGAAAGGGTTGAGCCGACTTGGCCGCGCGGCGCAAAGGGAAGGAGCCTCTGGAAAAATACTGATCACATGCGCAGAAAATAGCCGAACACCCAGGTGTTGGACGCCTTTGGGCCTTTTGGGCCCAGTATGGCCAGCTCACGTAGCGTAAATCTTTCCGAACGCCCAAACTGAACCAGGCTGCAATTATGTCAGAAAGGGCAACGTGGGCCAGGACTGGCTGAATTGCGGCTCTAGGCCGGCCAGCCCGGCCTGAAAAGTCTTGATCAAAACGGGCCAGTGCTGACACACAATCCGAACAACTAATTACATAACTTTGCCTACATTACAATTGTGACGTGAATTGAGTGCACATCGATAAAGCAGGGCATGACAGAACCTTGTTTGCCAGCCAGTTCACTTGACGCAAACTCCCATGGGCGATTTGATGTAGTGCACCTACGACCCTCCCGTTGAAACTTTGATTGAGAATGACTGAAATACGTAGCAGCAAGGGGCATGCACACCAGAAAGCGGCCAATCAAGCCGCCACATAACAACTCATTGTCAAATTGCTTCCTCTCCTCTCTCTCTCTCTCTGGCGTTGGATGGGCTTCCACTCGCGCATCCGAGCTGACACGGTGACGTGCCTCGGCCTCGGTTCCTCATGCTCCTCTTCCTGCACTTGCACTTCCGGCTGTCGCTCGGTCTCTGCCCGGCACTTGCCCAGGTGTTCGACAGCTTCCTCCCAGTTGCGCGATTTGCCCCGAAGGGTTCCATACGAAACGGCTCCCGGAAACGCAAGTACGTTGGGCACGCTTTCCTTAGTCTTTGTGTGCGTGTCTGCACTTTTGCATGTGTGTGTGGCGCCTCTGCGCGCAAGGGCGTGCTGCCTGCTTGTGTGGCTGGGCGGGTTGGTGGATTGGTGTGAGCGCGTGCGCGCGTGTGAACGTCGAAGGGTGTTTGTTCAGTGTCTTCTGAAATGTGATTTGCCCTTCATGTTGTTGTGATTGCGAGGGCTCATCTCCTTGTGTATGTAGAGTGTGCGTCAGTGCGTCTTTGTGTCTTGTGGTGCTGTGTCTCGGTGCCTGTGTGCCTGCGTGCCAACATGTGTTGATGCTCTGTGTGCTGGTGTGCCAGGCTTGTGCTTGTTTGTGCGCTGGTGAGTGTGAGTGTATCTGTGCTTGCGCGCGGGCGCATGCTTGAGTGATTCATGCCAGCGTGCGTGCTTGCTCTCCAGCAGGCGTGCGGGCGGGAAGGAGAAAGCGAAAAGCGTGCATGCGTGCAGGCGGTACGAGTAGGTAGGCGCCCACCTGCATGTACATGTGTGTTTGGGTTTGTCTGTGTGTTTGGGTGCCTGTCTGTCTAGTCAGTCAGTGCGTCAGTGAGTCAGTGAGTCAGTCAGTCCGTCAGTCAGTCAGTCAGCCAGCCAGCAGCCAGCCAGTCAGTAAAAGGCTGGGGGGCGTATGCCTGTGCGTGTGCATGTACGTGTCCGTGTGTCTGTGTGTCCGTGTGTCCGTGTGTCCGTGTGTCTGTGTGTCTATGTGTGGTGTCTCCGTGTCTCTGTGTGTCTGTGTCTGTGTCTGTGTCTGTGTCTGTGTCCGTTTTTGATATGTTTGCTGTTTTGTTTTGTGTGTGCGTGTGGTCCTTTTTGCGTGTGTGCTTGAGTCCGTGTGTT